AAAAAAAAAAAAAAAAGAATGGAGGCAGAAAGAGGGAAGAATGAAATTTCCTGTCCCGAGTTCACATACATCATCTTTCATGGGCTCCTTCGGGGGATTGAACTCCTCATGGTACGATCGGCCGCTCTTCTGGTGAATCAGCCTGAAAGACAGCAAAGGCACGAGTCAGGGTGCTGGGCAGTATCCCTGCATTCCAGACTGGCAGGCAGAGACAAAAGCTGGATGGACTTTTATCCTCCAGGTACACCTCGCTTAGGAAAATAACTGGTCTTAGGAAAATAACTAGGCATATGCCAAGTTATTTAAAAACTAGGTTTTTAAAATGTTGGTCAAATATTATAATGTGGGTCTGAAGAGGTAAGCTGCTACTACTACACAGCTACTTAATTCAGAATGCAAGGGAAGAACACTGCCGCTGGTCTCCCACTCTACTCACCAACTCTCCTAAGTGTCTAGTTTGATTTGGGCCCTAAGCCAAACCCAGGGCTCCGAGGCAGTGATCTGAGATCTCTGTGCATAAGCAGCGCTTACCAGAGGAGACATCTGCGGAGACAGATAACTACAGCAAATGTGATAGTCCTTTAACAAAGATTTATACCAAGTGCCAAGGGGAAGAACTGACAGAGGAATTAACCCTATTGCCTTTTCTTTTTGAGATGCTGTCTTGCTATGTTACCCAGGATGGTCTTTAACTCATTTTCTTCCTGACTTAGCCTCCCAAGTAGCTGCAATTACAGCTGTGAGCTACTGAACTTGGCCTGACTAATGGAATTTCTTCACCTTCTGAACAATGCGAGGCACACAGTGGCCAGGCTATCTCTGTGCTATTGCTGTCTACACTATCTGCATTTCTAGGTTTGTCAGTCCCCGAATTCCCTCAGCCCTAACTGCACACAACACTGTTCTTTCCACAACCACAAATACCACCTTTAAAAAAAATTTGTGTATTTATTTATTTGGTACAGGGTCTTGCTACGCAGCTTTAACTAGTGATCCTCCAGTGCTGGCATTAAAGGCATGGGCCACCATGCCCAGTTTTGGTGGCTGGCATGGCGCACATGGCATGTGGTACCTGGGATCTGGGATTGGCATGCAGTGCCAGGGATCAAACCTGGGTCCTTACGCTTGGCAGGCAGGTGCTTTGACTGCTGAGCTATCTCCCCAGTCCTTAAATACCATTTTATTTATTATTATTATTTTTTAATTTTATTTATGTGTGTGTGTGCCCCCAGGGGGCTGGGCTGGCTGGCATGTGGTGCTGGGGGATTGAACCGCAGTCCCTGTGCTTTGTTAAGCTTGTTCTAAGTAGGTGCTTTAGACCACTGAGCCATCTCACCAGCCCCTTAAATACCTTTTTTTTTTTTTTGAACCAGGGATTGAACTCAGACCCTTGTGCTTGCCAGGGAAGCACTTATTCCACTGAGCCATCTCCCTGGCTCCTTTAAATACCATTTTAAAGAGGAATACGAGGCTTATTCCCTGGAAGGTAAATGAAAGAAAGTCCAATCTTCAAATTCTCAAAAATTGGGGTTGGTCTCAAGTACCAACCAAAACCATAACCACTGGGCCAGGCCTAGAGGTGGACACAAAGGCAGAGGGAGTGGACAGGACTGGGATTCTACAGTCTCTGTTACATCAGCATGACACTTTAGACCCATTTTCTCACTCAAGAAGTAGAGATGGTGGGGGGCCAGGGAGATAGCTCAGAGGCATAAACACCTGCCTGGGCAAGCACAAGGACCTGACCACAGATGCCCACAGGTGCCCACCATGTAATCATGGAAGAGGGCATGCTGGTGCACGCCTGTAATCCCAGCACTAGGGAGGTTGAGACAGGAGGATCTCTTGAGTTTGAGACCAGCCTGGGGGCTGCAAAAGTGAGCACAAGACCAGCCCAACCTGCACAGTGAGACCCTGTCTGAAAAAAAAAAAAAAGAATTGGAGATTGTACTAGACATTAGGACAATGACACCAGAGTCAATGGGTAGGATAATGAGGATATTAGAAAGCCAATCCTGAACAGGCAAAAAATCAAACAACCAGCTATAATGTAATCAAGAAACAAAATGAAGGTTGGCCAAGTAGCTCAGTGCATGAAAGCACCAGCAAGCAGGTGCAGGGGCCAGGGTCCCACGCCCCTGGGGGCATGCTGAGACAGCAACTGAGACTGGGTCTGGTGGCACATGCCTATAATCCCAGCTCTTTGGAAGGCTGAAAACAGGAGGATCACTAGGAGTCCCATATATAGGTAGTGAGACCCTGTAGACCCTTACTAAAAACTACAAAAAAAAAAAAAAAAAAAAGAGAGAGAAACAAAATGAGGCCGAGTGTACTGGCTCCTGCCTGTAATCCCAGCACTCTGGAGGCTGAGGCAAGAGGACTGCCATGAAAGCCTGCCTCAAAAAATCAAAACCAAAACCAAACAAAACAAACCAACCCCCACCAAAGAGAGACTCAAAATCAACAGAAGTCACAGCAAATTCAGAAGACTGTTGTTATCTGAGGCTCTTATCACCTCAAGACTTAAGATCCACATTAAACTGATGGGTATTTGCCTCCTGTCTTCCTTTCTGCTGTCAACACAGAAGAGAGAAGGCAGAAAGCAGGTTTCTGGTGCTAGCCCTGCCATGCATGTTGAGCTTAGAAATAAACTTTTACCAGTCTGACATGCTCTGTAAGTAAGCAGAGCCTTTTCAGAGAGGGCGTGAGTTATACTAAACCACTCATTCCAAGTGAGGACTGAGTTTTTCTTTCCATCCTTTACAATAATCCTGTACCTCCCCCCCCAGAATGTTTCCTTCAGTACCTGAACAGTGAGAGAGCTCTACTGCTTCATATAGCTCAAGAGCAGACTCCCAGATGGGGTCTTCATCTCTTTTTGCTCTCTTCAATTCAGCTTTAATGCCAGCACTAAGCTAGTGGCCGCAGAATGCTACTTTTGTTCTACTACTCAGTGGCTGGAGAACCTCCCTCAACTCTTGAACGCTGTCAAGTCTATCTTCTTCAGCCTGATGGATTTCCTGCCGAGATTCCAGTTTCTCTTCTAACGGCCCTCATGCTGCCCTTCGGCCCCTAGCACACTCCTCCAGCTCTGGGCAGACACGTCTTCTACCAGCCCCAACCCATCTGCTGTGACTCCCTTCAGGGAAAGCCTAGCCAAAACCATCTTCATCCTGGAGGGCTGTCAGTGTCACACCTTTTCCTACAAAGCCTCCCCCCCTGCTCCCAGGCTCTCCTCTTGAGCTACTTACTGCACCAAATGATCAGAACAGTTAGACTGCACGACTCTTTGAGGCCAGAGACGTGCATCACTATGTCATTCTTCTAGGGCCTCTCTTGGTCTTCTGCCACTGGGGTTAGTGTGCTGCACAGGAAGCAGGTACTCCAGAAGGTCAACCCATCAAATCAAAGGTGTCTGTTGTCACCTGATTCTGTTAGTACTTGCTTTGTACCTCAGGTACCTCATGCCTGGTGATATCCTTTAATGTCAACCCTACTACTTACTGGCCTACAATCAATTTTATTTACCTACTCTGTGCTCAATGAGATGTAAAGAAACAAAAGCTCTTGGGCCGGGGAGATGGCTCAGTGGAATAAGTGCTTCCCTGGCAAGTGCAAGGGCGTGAGTTCGATCCCTGGTTCCGCAAAAAA